GTTCGCGCTGTTCCTGGAACCGAATTTCGTCCTCGGCGAACCGGGCCGCGGCCTGGACGTCGTGCAGGAACTCGACCTCTTCGTCGTCGAGCACGTGCACTTGGTTCGCGAGCCGCATTTGTTCTTCGTACTCTTCGTCTTTTTTGCGTTTCTGTTCGGCGAGACTGGGCGTGGAGGTCAGCGTCGGGAGCGGCAGGGAGGGGGGGATGGGGATGCGGCACGCACCGTTCGGCGAGCGGGCGCGTGTCGCCGTCGTCCTCGGGCGGCGGCGCTGCAGGAGCGGGCATGGCGTCGTCGTTAGCTCCCAGCGAGTGGTGGAACGACAGGATCGGCAACGGTACTTTTGCCGGCGCGGCGGTAGGCCTCTTCGCGCTCGCGGCGCGCGGCCTCGAGCTCGGATTCGGAGACAAAGGCCTTGCCGAGGACGGGCCCACCGAGCGGGCGGCCAAACGGGTCGCGCTCAGCCTGCATGGCGGTGGTCGTGGTCGTCGAGGGTGCTGATCGCAGGAGATGGAGGCGGCCGAGGCTCCGGTCGCGGGCGGTCGATCTGCGGCAAGCTGCAGCGTGTGCGGACGCGCTCAGGACGTGACAGTGGGTGACCGCGACCACGGCGAGGGTGTCGCGGCCGTGATCACGGCGAGCCGGGCGGCCGCCTGGAAAGTTGCCCGAAAGCGGGTTGCAACAAAGCCGGAAAGCAGATCTCGGCGGGCGGGAGACGGTGCGTGCATCTCGCGTGACCGCGTCGTGCTGCCTTTGTCGCCCGCTTTGCCCGTGCCGCTGGCCGGCTGTGGCCTCGCCGCCCGCCGCGGCCTCGGCGCGCTGCCCTGATCTCGCCAGCGTGCGCAATAAATGAGCAGCGCGCACCGTCGCGGCTGTTGGCACTGCCGCTCCCGCGCCGCGCTCTCTCTTTGCCACCCGCCTGCCTCCCCGCCTGCCTGGCCGTGGTCCTCGCGCCCCTGCTCCCCGCCCTCCTGCGCGCCCGCCCCGGCGCCATCTCCCCGCCCCCCGCCATCCGTTCTCCTGCCTGTCCTTCCCGCGCCGCACCATACGCTCGTGGATCACTTTTCCGCTCCGCTCCTCGCCCACCCCCTCGCCTCGTCGTCGTCGTCGTCGCCGTCGTCGTCGTGCCCCGCTAGGTATTGCCGACCCGCTCGCACGCCGTCGCCGCGCTCGCTCATCGATCCGTCATTAACGACGCCGCACCGCCCTCCTCTCCGCTGCCCCCTCCACCCGTCCGACCCCACTCCACACCGTGATCCGTCGCTTGCCATCGCGCGTACCGCCCCGATCAACCCGCTCGGCGCATCCTACAAACGCGCCCACCATTCAGACCCCCCCCCCCCTTCATTCTTTGCCTGCTCGATCGCGCCGCGCCCCGACTGTGCGCGTCCGTGCCCTCCCCTCACCGGATCACGCGCGCCATCCTCTATTTCCAGTGTGCCTCGCCTCGCCTGGCACCTTGCCCTATCTGATTCTACGTGTCGGTGCCGCCCGTCCGCCCGTGCCCTGATTCGTGATCGCGACCGCCCCCGCAGCACCACCGCACCGCAACCATGGCGTCGAAACCGTCGTCGTCGTCGGCCAAGAGCCCAAAGAAGATTGCCGAGGAAACCAACCCGGACTTCCAGCTGCCAGGCATTGGCAACTATGCCTTTGTCAAGACGCTCGGCGAGGGCAACTTTGCCAAGGTCAAGCTCGCCAAGCACAAGATGACGGGTCAGGAGGTACTTTCTTTTTACTTTCGTCGGAAGCGATGCGGTTGCGCGCGCGACGTGTGCCGTCGCGCGCGTCATGTACTTCGTTTGCGTTACTCACTCTCGCCCATCCCCCGTCCCCCTCTAGGTCGCGATCAAGATCATCGACAAGACGCAGCTCGACGAAAAGAAACTCAACAAGCTCTACCGCGAAGTGCGCATCATGAAGACGCTGCACCACCCGCATATTGTGCGGCTCTACGAGGTGATTGAGACCAAGTCGACCGTCTTTCTCGTCATGGAGTACTCGTCAGGCGGCGAGCTCTACGACTACCTGGTCGTGCACGGCCGCATGAAGGAAAAGGAGGCGCGCGCCAAGTTCCGCCAGATATTGTCGGCTGTGAGCTACTGCCACAAGAAGCGCGTTATTCACCGCGATCTTAAGGTACTTGAAGCGTTTGCCCACAACGAGTCTGGGGCATGGGACTGACGATGCGATCTGGATCGCTAGGCCGAGAACCTGCTGCTCGATACGAACCTCGACGTCAAGATTGCTGATTTCGGCTTCTCGAATCAGTTTGACCCGGAGGGCAAGCTCGACACGTTCTGTGGGTCGCCGCCGTACGTTATCCGACGCGTCGTGGTAGTCTTTTTGTTTGAACTTCTGAGCTCACGTTACTTTGTCGCGCGTCTCTAGCTACGCGGCTCCGGAGCTCTTCCAAGGCCGTCGCTACGTCGGTCCCGAGGTTGATGTGTGGAGTACGTGCCGCTTTCGACACCATCACACGTCCGATCTCGTTCTGCGAAACTCACCCTGTCCGTACTCACCAGGTCTCGGCGTGATCCTCTACGTGCTCACGACGGGCTGCCTGCCCTTTGACGGCAAGAACCTGCAAGAAATGCGCGAGTCGGTGTGCCGCGGCAAGTACCGGATCCCGTTCTATCTCTCTGACAGCTGCGAGAAGCTGTTGCGCAAGTTCCTCGTGCGCGACCCGACCAAGCGCGCGTCGCTCGACATCATTGCCGACGACCCGTGGTTGAACGAAGGGTACACGGAGCCGCCGATTTGCAATGACCTGTCGATGAAGATTTCCGAGGACGAGAACCTGATCAAGATGATCGAGCTCAAGTTCCATATCGAGCGCGACGTTATTGTCAAGTCGCTGCGCGATAACGTTTACGACGACATTTCGGCACTCTACTACCTCATGTACCACGAGCGCGACCGCACCGGCGACTACTCGCGCGTCAATCAGGTGCTCAACGGCGTGAGCGTGCCGACGACCGCGCTCTCACCGACGTCGGGCGCCGTCTCGCCGCCGCCGTCGATGATGCCCATGGCTGCGATCACGCTGCCGCGGATGCCCGCGTCGGCCCCTTCGTCCGCGGCGTCGTCCCCCGTCAAGCCCTCGGCGAACCCGGGCGTCTCGGCACCGACGTCGCCGGCGGGCAACGACGACGCGGGCAATGCCGCCAAGACCATGGTCGCGATCGCCGAGGACGCGGTCCTGCCGTCGGGCGCCGGCGGCGGCGGCAACTCGGCGGTCTCCCCGCCCGGGTCGGCGACGCCGCTGCGCTTGCCTCCGCCGTCGGCGTCGACGGCGCGCGCCGTCTCGACGACCCCGCGCCGCCGCCGGTTCACAGTCGGGTCCGAGCAGCCGGAAGTGCCGGCGCCGCCCGGCGCGCCGATGATGCCCGGTGGTGGTGGTGGTGGTCCCGCCGACGACGCGCCGCTGGCGGCCAGTACCGTTGAGAAGCCGGGCACGGCGCCTGCGCCGGTCGCGATGCTGGCGACGCACACGTCGACGCTCACGTCGCAGCTCGACGACATGGATCCGCGCGGGAAGCCCCGCGCGGGCTCCGGTGCGAATGGCGCCGGCGGGAACTTGCTTGTCGGAATGCTGCGCAGCACGCTCGGCCGGTCGCGGGACGGGTCGGCGCCCGCGGCGCCACCGCCCATGGGTCTGCCGAGTTCGCCGTCGGCGCCGGCCGCCGGGGACGATGGCAAGCCGCGGTCGTTGCGGTTCACGTTCAATTCGAACACGACGAGTTCGAAGCCGCCAGATGAGGTGGTGGCGCTCGTGCTCGACGCGTGCGTCAAGTTGAACGTGCAGCACAAGTTGATTTCGCGGTACCTGATGGAGTGCGCGTATGCGGTGCCACAAACGCGCGAAATGGTTCGGTTTGAGGTCGAGGTGTGCAAGTTGCCGCGGCTCAAGAACTTGCATGGGCTCAAGTTCAAGCGGCTCGCCGGGCCATCGAATGACTACAAAGTCATTTGCGAAAACTTGCTGGCGAATGTGAGCCTGTGAGTCAAGGTCGGGCTCGCGCGCGTCGAGTGACTGGGTTGCGCGGGCCGATGCAGTGGAGTTTGATGGAGCGTGGGTCGAGACGGGCGATACGATACGATTACGGATGCGCGACTTTGGTTTGGTTGGATCGGGCCGGGGTCTGGCTTCGGGTCGGTTGAAGGTTGGGACTTGCTGCTGCTGTTCGCTAATTATTATTCGTGCTACACTTTTTGGTTGAGCGGCCGATTTACAGTGAAGATACCTCACGGCATCACATCGAATAACATCGCCAAGCGAGATCAGGTGCACCCGTGCGGATAGCTGTCAGCGACGAATTGGGGCAGCTTAGGCTAAATGCTGTAGGCGTTCACATATTTGCGTCTGATCGACAACGCTGGTCATACCCTCATGGATCGGGCAACAGAAAATCAGCACAGAGAGCCATTCCCATCGGGTAGACAATATTGTCACAGCCACGTCGAAGAGATGACAGGTCAAGACGGGAACGTTGATCGCCACTGGTGCGGCATGCGCTTGGTCGCAGAGACTGGCGATTTTGGTGTCAGGGTCGCCGCACCACGCGTCCTATCCCGACAGTCGGCCGCGGGCAGGTAATCAGGGTAGCCGACGACGCGAAAGGAGGGTCGCCGTCGAACGAGGAGTATGGGTTGCTGTGACGCGCGAGGATAGGTCGCCATCAAGGCGCGATCACGTCTCACACATCAGTCCACACCGCTTGTCCAGACAAGATCACACGACTCCATCAATTCACAGTGAAGCAGCTGATCAAGGGAGACCATTTTCTTCACTCTTGGTACCATAGAGAACGGATGGGCGACGTTCGTCGCTGGATGCGGGATCAGCCAAAGGACAGTACAGATGGGGAGGAATACAATCACAGGCCCCTTGCCGAACGGGTGCAGGAGGCAGTGACCGCAAACGGTTCCAACAGCAAAAACTCGGGGAAGCAACACATTTCATGCAGCCGCGTAACGGAAGGGTTCATAATATGGTATGTCCGCGTCCAGATTCGAACTGGAGACCTCTTGTGTGTGAGACAAGCGTCATAACCGACTAGACCACGCGGACGTGCTCCGATTTTATGCCATAAAATTTTAGACCCCTTGAGATTTCCACCGTTTGAGACGCTTCTAGTTGCCGTTTCTGGAACCCGTCAATCGTGTGCTCTCGGTTGCCATGGATTAGAAGGCAACATGGGTCGTGGTTCAGCGCGAATTGTGCCCATTAGTCCGCTCGTTCATGACGAGCGAATGTAGCCATTGTCCAGCTCCTGACGCGGGTCATCATTGAGATACACGCAGTACAGCGGCGGGCCCAATTAGTACCTGTGCGGTACCAACGACACGCGGGACAACTACCTCGCTTGCCTGTGCAGTGTGGGTGACTGCACAGACAGCCATTTCCCAGCTTCGAGTCAGCGTGGCCGCCCTGATCCAGTTCGCGTCACGGACATTCTACAAGGCGCCGATCTGTCGAAATTACCAGGTTAGCCGGGTGGAGGAGCGTGGTGATGTGGCATTGCGGACCGCGTGTCTGGGAGCGGTTGAGCGTCCCCTCTCATAGCGCTCCATGCATTCCTGATACCTCGGGGTTCAGGTCCAGTCAGCCAGCTCGTGTGTTTGATGCTTGGCTCGTTCCAGTAATGTACGCGTGTCGTTCAAATACGACTCTCAAGGGACAAAGCGTGGTTAACTACGCCCGTGAGGATGAAGCCAAAAAGTATCAGCGGAGGAGTGTATGCGGGACAAGCATGCCCTGTGCTGAAGTACATCGTTCATGTTGTTGGCCATGAACCACCGTCCTAACCGTGTGACCCTGAACGAAACCAAAGAAATCAGTAGCACTCTTTGTTTGCTGCTGCTCCTTGGAGCTGCTCTTCTGGTTGACAGGTCTATGCCCACGCTCGCTGACATTGTTCTTGCAACTGTTGCAGAGAGAATCGGTATGATGTGTATTTACAGCAACAAAGGTGCGTGGACAGGGCACAGAAACTAGACGGCAAAAGCGACAACGACAGAACAAGAACCGACGGCAAAAGAAAGTGAAATCAGCTCGTCGAATGGACGAGCCATGTGCGAAAACGGCGACAAAAACGGTCAAAACTGCGCGACAGAGACAACACACAAAAACAAAACGCAAAGCCACTGGTGGCTAGGATCAGAGAAGAGGAACGACAGAGAACAAACTAAAACTCGCAAATCGACACCACGGCCCTTCATGCGCACAGGTTCGCTCAGGCCATGACGCCCTCGACAAACCACTGGTACCCGTCGTAGAGCCGCGTGAAGACATTGCCCATACTGTTGGCAATCAACCGGTCGACAAAGTCGCTGACCTGCTTGTCTGACAACGACAAGAGCAGACGGTCGCGCAACGCCTTGGTCACGGGCAGAGCATTTGCCGCCGGCGACGACGATGCGGGCGTGGGCGAGACCGTGCCCGACTCTGCCGCCGGCGACGCCGTTGCCGATTGACCCGGGGTCGGTGACGTTGAGGGCGTCACGGCGGGCGCGGCCGCAGCAGTGGTCGCGAGCGAGGTATAGGCAAAACAGTCGAGCGGCGAGTCGCGTTCCATGACCTCGACGAGCCCGACAATTCGGTCGTGCGCACGACGCAGAGCCAGGAACCCTTGCACGAGCAGCTGCCGCCACTCGGCGTACATTTTGGACCCGAGCCCGCCAAGCAGGTCGACGTACTCTTGCGACAGCTTAAACGGCGCCGTCTCAAAGGCCACGGCGCCCGGCGAATTGGAAAGCATGAACCCGAAATCAATGTGCACGATATGCCCCGTCGTGTAGTCGAGCAAAATGTTGCCATTGTGCCGGTCCTTGACGTTGAGCACGTAGCACAAGATCGAGTAACCGGCGAGCGACGTCATAAAGTTGCGCTGCGCCATATCGAACCCGGGCGAGCCTTCGGGCCCAAACTCTTGCACGAAGAAGTCCTTGAGCGTGAACGTGTCGCCGTGCTTGGCATACATCTCCTTTTTCAGCGAGTGGATCGAGACCGTGTTCTTGACCGTTTCCACAATCCCGTGCGCCTGGCCCGTGACGAGCACGCGGTATGGGAACATCCAGCAGGCAACACGTGCGTGTTGCCAGATCTTGGCCATTTCGCGAATCAGCTGGCACGCCAACTGTTCCTGCCGCAAGTCGGCGCCCGACTTGACAATCACCGACATCAGGTTCCAATGCTTGGCGTGCCCGAAACCCGACGACGCGCGAATCCGCTCGCGCTTGCGCGCCCACGTCTCGCGCACAATCGCACCCGACGGATCGTCCTTGTCAATCGCCATGGGCGGCGTCAGTGTCGACACGCGCCGGCGCACCGTCGCCTGCCGCGTCGCGAGCGGCGGGATCGGCAGCGCCGTCGTCGCCGCCGGCAACTTGACCGCCTCGATCTGCGCACGGTCGAGCCCGCCGAGATCCGCCACGCCCGCGGGCATCGGCGGAGCGTTCCCGAGATCCACGGGGTCCATGGTATACTCGACGCCGCCGAGCACCTTGTAGACATCCTGCGACATGGTCGAGGCCAGGCCGAGATCGCCCTCGTCGATGTCGAGCGCGTTCAGTTCCTGCAGCGCGCGCAGACGCAACTCCTCGAGTGCCATCATTTCGCGCAAAATGCGGTTGCGAATCTCCTCGGTGAGCCGCGGACCACCGACCTTCTTCTTCTTCTTTTTGCGCAGCTTGAGCAGCGCGCGGCGACGTGCCGCGGGGGACGATGCGGCGGCCGCCTCGGCCAACTCAGCCGTGAGCATTTGCCGCTCCTGCTCTTGCAGCTGCGCGAGGAGGATTACGGCCGTGCGCATGCGGTTCGCGAACTCCTCTTCGCCCGGGAACTCGGTGCGCCGCGTCGACGTCGTCGACATCATCGAACCTGGCCGCGCTGCTGTCGAGGTCTGCGCTGGCTCCTGCTGCGTTTGCTGCTGCTGTTCCGCCGGCAGGCCGCGCGCGCCCAAATCATCCGCGGCATGGTTCACCGCCGCGGCCGCCGATGCGCTCGAAATCGTCGAGGTCCGGCGCGACAGCGACCCGCTGAGCATGGCCGAGAGCGACGCCGGAGGCGTTTCCAAGAGCATCGACAGTGATGACCGGCGGCGGATAGGCATGCGGCGCGGCGTCGTGTCGTTTGCGACACCGAGCGCGTTGGTCGCATCGGCGGCCGCCGCATGCGCGTCCTCCTCGTCGTCCTCGATCACTTCGACGAACAGGAGGAACGGCACGCGCTCGGCCGAGTTGAGCACGGTCGCGTCGGTCGGCGAAATGCGCACGATTTGGTGGTGACGGACTTCGCCCGCCGCGTGGCACCAGAGGGGTAAGCACACAGGGGCCGGGAAGTTGTGGCTATGAAGCAGAGAGGTGCGTGAGTGGACATGGGCGGAATGTGGGGATGGATAGAGAAAGAACGCACTTCAAGAGCGTCAGCTCGGCTGTCAGCGTAGACTGGCGCGCCTCGCGCGGCACCGGCACAAGCCGCTCCGAGATCGCGACGAGCGCTGAAATAAACTGCAGCTCCGAGTGGAAGTAGTACTTTTCGAGCAATTTCGGGTCATTGCACAGCACCGAATCGACCGACGCTGTGGATCCACGGCGCGCGCGCACCGAACCCGACGCCGACGTTTCATTGTTGGGCGTATCGTCCGCAACCGACGACGAGGCCATCGACGACCGCTTCGAAACAGTCCCCGTCGTCCCATTGGCGCCGCCGGCCGCACGTTGCACGAAATTGGTAAACGAAAAGGCCTTGCCCTTGTGCATGTCCTCGAGCGACGGCGTCGTGTTGGGCAGCCGCAGTGGCGTACCGTTCGGGCCGATCGCGAGCGTCACCATGGCCGGCGCCGGTGGGGATCCGGACCCGCGTGGGAGGGACTTGTTGGGGGTGTCGAGTTGCACGTTGACCGCCGAGTCGCGCGAGGACTTGGCGGGGGTCGTGGTCGTGGGCGGCAGGACGGCCGCGGGCACGTCTGATTCGACGAGATACTCGGCTGTGTCCTCTTCGCGCGCCATGATGATGTCCTCGACGAGCGAGACGACGCGCACGCACATGTCGTAGGCGGCCGACGACGGGAAGTCTTCGAGATCGGCGAGGTAGGCTTGGAAGTACCAGAGCGTCTGGTAATTGTTGTGTGTGCGAAGTTGAGAAGGCAGATCATGGCATTACAGGACGTTGGCGCAGGGGCAACTCAACGCGTACCAGCATGGCGAAATGGGTCGAGACACGGCACCGGTCGGCAATCAGGTCCTCGAGGTGCGTCATGGTCGGGACCGTGACGAGAATGTGGCTAAAGAAAAGCGCGCCGAGGAGCGCGGTGGGTGGGTTGCACGAGGGCGACGATGCAGATGCACGTCAGCATTCCCGTTCCGGGCGCCACATTCCATTCCAGTCCCGTTCCATTTCCGCGTGTCAGAACCGTGACGCGTGTCGCTTACCGCTTGCCGCGCGCGTGCCTGGGTAAGAAAACCACCAACGTACATGAGCTGCGGCAAGTACTCTTGGACGCGCGCGACCGGAAACCCGCGCAGGGCGTCGGCCAGGTACTCTTGGATGGCTGCGTGTTGTTGTTCGCATACCCATTGAGCAATTTCGGGTCAGCGCGAACGTCCAGCAAGCAAGCTCGTGTTCGTGGTCGTCGTGAGCAGCACGCACCAGGGTGGTCCGGATACTTGTACATGTAGTAGACTGCCATCCACTCGTCGAAGAACTCGGACCGGAACAGGCGCAGCAGGCCGGCGTGCGCGGGCCCAAACTGCGCGTCCGGGCCAATGGCCATGCTCTTGGGCGGACCCGTGCCGTAGACGGCGGCCGACTCTTGCTGCTGCTGCTGCCGCTGCTGCTGCTTGCGAGCGGCCGCCGACGCGGTCGCGGGCACGACGGCCGCGGGACTGGGCGCGGCGGGCGGCGCCATGGTGCGGGGATCGGGGCTTGAACGAGTTCGCTGGTTCTGTCGATCGAATTTTGTGCGAGCCGGGATCGGAGCCGGGGTCGGAGCCAGTGCTTTGGATTGGCGTCGAGAGGACGGGGATGGGGTGGTCGGAGGACTGGCGAGCGCAGTGGGGGCCGCTGGG